AGACAGACTGGAATGGAGAAGGACTCAGAGAGCCAACCCCATACAGAGGGGACTAAGGTATGATGAAGTCACGTGCTTAACTTTGACCATGAGCAGTCCCACTGAACGTTCCCTGGGCACTGCACCTTGACGTGGTGGGAGAAAGTGTGTTTTTCAATGAACACGAGAGCTACGCTCACCCAAGGCTCTTACGTAAATTAAGTAGTCATGGGATAAGAGGGAAGATCCTTTCATGGATTGAGAACTGGTTAAAAGACAGGGAACAAAGGGTAGGAATAAATGGTAAATTTTCAGAATGGAGAGGGGTAACTAGTGGTGTTCCCCAAGGGTCAGTCCTAGGACCAATCCTATTCAACATATTCATAAATGATCTGGAGAAAGAGGTAAACAGTGAGGTGGCAAAGTCTGCAGACAATACTAAACTGCTCAAGATAGTTAAGACCAAAGTAGACTGTGAAGAACTTCAAAAAGATCTCACAAAACTAAGTGATTGGGCAACAAAATGGCAAATGAAATTTAATGTGGATAAATGTAAAGTAATGCACACTGGAAAAAATAACCCCAACTATACGTACAATATGATGGGGGCTAATTTAGCTACAACTAATCAGGAGAAAGATCGTGGAGTCATCGTGAATAGTTCTCTGAAGACGTCCACGCAGTGTGCAGCAGCAGTCAAAAAAGCGAACAGGAGGTTAGGAATCATTAAAAAAGGGAAAGAGAATAATACGGAGAATATCTTATTGCCCTTATATAAATCCATGGTACACCCACATCTTGAATACTGCATACAGATGTGGTCCCCTCATCTCAAAAAAGATATACTGGCATTAGAAAAGGTTCAGAAAAGGGCAACTAAAATGATTAGGGGTTTGGAACGGGTCCCATATGAGGAGAGATTAAAGAGGCTAGGATTTTTCAATTTGGAAGAGAGGAGACTAAGTGGGGATATGATGGAGGTATATAAAATCATGAATGGTGTGGAGAAAGTGAATAAGGAAAAGTTAGTTACTTGTTCCCATAATATAAGAACTAGGGGCCACCAAATTAAATTAATGGGTAGCAGATTTAAAACAAATAAAAGGAAGTTCTTCTTTACACAGTGCACAGTCAACCTGTGGAACTCCTTGCCTGAGGAGGTTGTGAAGGCTAGGACTATAACAGGGTTTAAAAGAGAACTGGATAAATTCATGGAGGTTAAGTCCATTAATGGCTATTAGCCAGGATGGGTAAAGAATGGTGTCCCTAGCCTCTGTTTATCAGAGGGTGGAGATGGATGGCAGGAGAGAGATCACTTGATCATTACCTGTTAGGTTCACTCCCTCTGGGGCACCTGGCATTGGCCACTGTTGGCAGATAGGATACTGGGCTGGATGGACCTTTGATCTGACCCAGTATTGCCATGCTTATGTTCTTATGCTGGTGAGAGTTTTAACTCCTGGGACTGGAACCCAAGCAGGACAGGTCAAAGGGTAGGGGCCAGACACAAAGCACTACACTAAGTTGGGCGTTGAGCAACGGTCAATAACCTAGCCTTGTAAAAAAGTTATGACACAGAAATACAACTAGATAGCCATTCTGTTAAACAGCAGGATAGACAAGGATGTCAGAGCCTTCTTGCACCATCAGTTTTCGCTTAGGGCGCAAAGAAGGATTCAGATGTAAATGGGACTATTCGGGTGAGTAAAGTTAAAAACCTGCTTATGTGTTTGTAAGATCAGGGGCTCAATTTTCAATGTTTTGTATTATGCCTACACTAGTTTTGTAAAATGCAAATAACATGCCCAAGTAGTGCAATTAAAGAAAACCCAGCATTTATAACGCAGTTCATTAAAGAGCTTAATCTAAAGTCACAATAGCACAGTCACTGGCAAACAAAACTGCACCAAAAAAAATAAAAATTCTCCAGCATACCTGGAGACAGCTTCAGAGACAGGGGAGGGGGGCTGGACGTGCGTGCCTGCCTGATCACGAGGGGGGGGGGGGGAAAGCTGGTCGCACGTGCATGCCAACAAGCAAGAGAGATTCTGTCCCTCTCTCTTGCGACTGCAGCTCCCTGGCATGTAGGTGTAGGGCTTTTTATTATGCAGGAGGCAGGCTGAAGGCACAAATGAAGCAGCCTGCCTGAGTTAATTGAATTAATTCTCTGAGGCACACATGGTAGCACCCTGACTGTTGTAGTAAAATTGTTAAAGTTGCTGTTGATGGTTAATTGAGCTCATTCTCTGAGGCAGAAATGTAGCAGCATGCCTATTGTTAGTTAACTGTCCCCATTCTCAGTCAATTCCCCCAGAAGCATTAAAACCTGTGAAAGTTTTAAGGCACCTGCATTGCCAGAGTGATGTAAAGGAGTCTTATTATAAATGACAGTAAAGGAATCCTCAGCAAGGAAGATCTATTTGCTTTCTCACTTTTTTCCTGTGCCAAAGCGGCACAATGGGGTTAGATTATAGCTCAGAATTTATTTTACTTACCCATTTAAAAAAAAAGAAAAAAGACTTTGAGGGCAAATAAAGCATTTACCAAGCAGTCAATAAAATGTCAGGACAATCAGAACCAAGCACTTCCCAAAGTACCCAGCCAAGTCCAGGACAATGATTAGCAAAACTGTATGACTTTCATGTGTGAAAGTCTGAGCAATTTAAAAATGACATTCTACTCTTCCCCACCGGTTTGGTATTCTGTAATGTAATTTAAATGAAAATCAGGATTATAACTGGAATGCAGGGTATTAGTTACCAAGTGTTTGTAACTTAACTTTCATGTGTTTAAGAAATGCTGAATAGTTATCGTGACTTTTTCCTGTATTGTAGTTTAAATAAATTACCAAAACTATTGAAACTGGTGTGATTATACTGCATTATTCTGACACATAAAATATGCAGAATTTTGAATTTTTTGGCGCAGAATCCCCCCCAGGAGTAGTATCTTGTAACTGAAGAAGGTAAACCTGTTCAGTATGATAGTTTAAGCAGCAACTTAAGAGGAACCGTTTGGGCCAGCTGATGCCAAGAGCAGATCTGCATAACTTTAGCCTCTGCAGTCGAAATACTCTACCAACTCCTGCTGATGCAAATGACAGAGGACCTAAGGAGGTATGCAGGAAGGGAGGACAGAGAAAGATCTGGGCTTGGGAGGGAAGGGGAAAATTGCCCCCACTTCCTGTGGAGCTCCTCAGATTTGCCGGAGGGGAGATTCTCACACAAATCTTAGCAGGCTGATTTGGTCCCTCTTGCAAGACATTTGATGGAAGCATTCTCCTTCCCACCTTGGGTTGTCTCCGAGTTCTCTTCTCTAAAGAGCAAGGCTAGAAATGTACCTGTTTGTTTTTAAAAAGAGGACTCAGGTCTCCAGCCACAATTTGACATCCTGTGATAAGCATGCCAGAGCTGGTAATCCCAATCAAATTTTGAAATTATACTTCAAATTAACAAAATGTAGGTGCTGAGCGCTAAGTCTCAACCACTATGTTTTCTCTCTCTCCCATCTTCTTTGTTTGGAATTTTTGTGGTGTGATACAGGCCACTCAGTTTATGTGTTATGAAGTGGCAAAGTTAGACTATCAACTCTGAACACCTATTTATAGGACATCCTATTCTGGAATCCCTTCTACAAATCACTTCAGATTTGGTAGTAATACCCTAATTTAACCTAGTCTCTTCTCAATGAATTTTGAGGTTGATATAATGTTATAAAAGTTTTTCTGGTTTTTAAAAGGAGGTCATAATCATGATTATAAAGAAGAGTCAGCTGCAACTTTAACTGTGGAGCAACTGCTGTTACTCCATAGCACTAGAGTATAGCAAACTCAGACTATCAGCTATGTAATGTACTACTCAGTGTTTTATACACAGTAACACTCCTGTCTTGACTGCTATTAATTAATTTAATCCTCATGCCATGTTGCTGTTTAGTCACTGATAGACAGACAGAGCGAATTATATTTGTTGCGTGTCTGTGTTAATGACTTGATATTGTTGAAATAAGAGGCTCAATTTAAATGATTTCATCTAAGATTATTAATCAGAGATAAGTACAGCACTACACAGAAGACAGAAATAAATACATTACTACCCTTTGTTTTCAGACTAAGAGCTGTACGTATATCTTACCTGCATCTGGAAGGGACATGCAGTTTTCATTTCCCCGCCCCCAAAGTTTTCATATCACTATCATTATATAGGATTTCAGACAAACGAAACCCAGTTTCCAAGAATATTCTCCCAGAAACATATGTTGTGATGTCATTTCTATACATTCTCAGTTTATCTGACTCTTGTGTCAAAGCATAATTATTTACCGCTGAGGGCACTAACAATTCTTCAAGTTAATATCTCTCAGTGCATCCTTCTTACCCCACAATCATTCTTCCGTATTGATTCCCCCAACAGAAAACATCTGCTATGACAATAATCTCTTATTAGTTTCCCAAGTCTATATATGCTTATGTCAGCATTTTATTTTAATTTTTTATATATATATATATATATATATATATATATATATATATATATATATATATATAATGTTAAGGAGATGATTTCCAAGAATATCTAGAGTTTTATAGACATGAAGGCACCCTAGAGTTATTAAATACGTTCCTAAATAGGGTAACTTACTGGTCAAGGACCAGTGTTCTGGACTTTAGAATTCAGACATACTCTTTGTTGAAGATACAGATTCTAAAGAATAGTTAATATATATAAATGAATGAAATATAGAAAAAGGAAGAACTAAAAGTATTACTATTTACTAACCGGTACTAACATATTACATGGTGAAATTTATATTAAGATTGTTATTCTGTCAAATGAAAAATTATGTAGGGCAAAATGGATCAAAAACGTACCACATATATACAATTAATCTACAGACAAGCTATAAATATGTTAACAGTGAATACTGGAACAATGGTGCGAGCTGAAAATGTATTAATATTGAACGTTAGTCGAAACCATCTGTGTAATGTAGCACAACTAGATTTTCAAATCAGATCCTACCTTTTTGTCACCCACAGCATTGTCTTTACTCTGTGCAGACATCCACTGGGGAAGTTTATGATGTGGAGAAATCATTTTCAATTCTATATGATTAATTCTCCTGCATTTCTGTTACTTTTGTTCTGTAAAATTTAAGGGGGAAAAAAGGCAGTTAGTGAACAGTCGGTATACGAATGAGAGCTATTATTGCTGTTTCATCATTTTTAGTCCCCCAGGGTCTTCATTTTAGCTGATCACTTTAGGCTCAAGCAATCTGTCCGCAGGGAAGGAAATGTACGTGACCTAGGTAAATGCAAGAGTTCTTCATCAGAGTTTCACCATCTGTTACATGTATACACAAATGTATAAAAATACATGAAAGAAGAAAATCTCGAAATATCCTCCTGAGAGAGAGTTCAGTAAAGTCTTTTGCACATTATGACAGCAACAACTAATTTAGGATGAAATGACTTCAGTGTATTTTTCCACTAAAATAATTCAGCCATTAACAGCTATGGTGCTAACATACCAAGCAACCGTTGGGATTTGTTTGTTTGTTTAACACAATCTAGTGATGCACAGTTTTGTTCTTTAGCCAGCCTTCTTACTCAGAGAGTTACATGCAGTTTGCATAATTCATGGTTTGAAAACTCCCTTTGCAGAGAGTAGGAACACTGTTCTGATGAGAGCAGGTTGCCTCTGCTGTGAGGATTGGTCCTGAATGTTCCCACCCCACCAAGTTGTGTTGAAGAGGAACTCGTGGCGCAGCAACACACAACACTGGTCTTGCCACCTCTCAGTGCGGTTACACTGCCCACCGTGCTGTCTCCAGCAGTTCCAGTTCAACTCACTGCTTTGTTGCATGTCTAAGTTAATGACTCAAGATATTTAAACAACGGGCTCAATTGGAATTATTTAATCTAAGATTATCAATCAGAGATTAGTCCAGCACTATACAGAATACAGAAAGAGATACGTTATTACCCTATCAAGAGCTGGCTCTGTCTCATTGTATCTGGAGGGAAGCGCAACCTTCACTCCCCCAGTGAAGTTCCCATACCAATATCATTATATAGGGTGGTAGACAAAGAAACCTTTTTTGCCAAGAATATTCCCCAGAAACATATGTTCTGATGTCATTTCTATACATTCTCAGTTTACCTGGTTTATGTGTGAAGGCCTGATTATTCACAGCTCAGAAGACTAACAATTCTTCAAGAGAATCTCTCTCAGTGGGTCTTTCTTACCCAACAATCATTCTTCCCTACTGAGTCCCCAACAGAAAACATCTGCTGTAACAACCATCCCTTATTACTCTCCCAAGTCTATATATGCTTATGTAAGCATTATATATATGCCCTATATGTATGTATGTGTCTATGTTAAGGAGATTGTTTCCAAGAATATTTGGAGTTTTATAGGTTTCAGAGGAACAGCCGTGTTAGTCTGTATTCGCAAAAAGAAAAGGAGTACTTGTGGCACCTTAGAGACTAACCAATTTATTTGAGCATGAGCTTTCGTGAGCCACAGCTCACTGCTCAAATAAATTGGTTAGTCTCTAAGGTGCCACAAGTACTCCTTTTCTTTTTGGAGTTTTATAGACATTAAGATGCCAGAGATTGTTAAAATAAGGCATGATGGATAACATTCCCGCATAGGACCAGTGTTCTGCACCTTAGAATTCAGACACACTCTTTGTTGAAGATTTTAAAGAATAGTTAATATATAAATGAATCAAATAAACAGAAAAAAAGAACTAACAGGGTTAATATTTACTAAGAGACATTAACAGCTTCCTCTTGAGTTCTGTAGCAGAGACCAGAGGCAACACAACAAATGCTCACAGCTCAGCACCCAAGAGCCTCAACAGCTTCCCCTCCACTGGGCCACCAGAGAGGGCAACACGATTGCGAGTGGTAGAGGAATGGCAGGCCAGTATTGAGATGAAGGAAGATTAACAACAGGAAAGAGGGAGAGCCTAGGCAAGGAGAGAGAAGATAAGATAGATCTGGTAAATGAGGAAGTGACAGGAGATAAAGGAGTACTTGTGGCACCTTAGAGACTAACAAATTTATTTGAGTATAAGCTTTCGTGAGCTACAGCTCACTTCATCGGATGCATAGAATAGAACATATAGTAAGGAGATATATACACATACACACACACACACACACAGAGAACATGAAAAGGTTGAGGTAGCCATACCAACTGTAAGAGGCTAATTAATTAAGATGAGCTATTAGCAGCAGGAGAAAAAAAAAACTTTTGTAGTGATAATCAAGATAGCCCATTTAGACAGTTGACAAGAAGGTGTGAGGATACTTAACATGGGGAAATAGATTCAATATGTGTACTAACCCAGCCACTCCCAGTCCCTATTCAAACCCAAGTTAATGGTATCTAGTTTGCATATTAATTCAAGCTCAGCAGTTTCTCGTTGAAGTCTGTTTTTGAAGCTTTTCTGTTGCAAAATTGCGACCTTTAAGTCTGTTACTGAGTGACCAGAAAAGGAGTACTTGTGGCACCTTAGAGACTAACCAATTTATTTGAGCATGAGCTTTCGTGAGCTACAGCTCACTTCATCGGATGCATACCGTGGAAACTGCAGCAGACCAGAGAGGCTGAAGTGTTCTCCTACCAGTTTTTGAATGTTTGAATGTTATGATTCCTGATGTTAGACTTGTGTCCATTTATTCTTTTGTGTAGAGACTGTCTGGTTTGGCTCTGTTTTGACAGATTGACAGAGCCAGAAGACGAGTGCCTAGAAGTCACCTACTACAGGACAGGCCCAACAAAGAAAATAACAGAACGCCACTAGCCATCACCTTCAGCCCCCAACTAAAACCTCTCCAGTGCACCATCAAAGATCTACAACCTATCCTGAAAAATGATCCCTCACTCTCACAGATCTTGGGAGACAGACCAGTCCTTGCTTACAGACAGCCCCACAACCTGAAGCAAATACTCTCCAGCAACCACACACCAAAAACACTAACCCAGGAACCTATCCTTGCAACAAAGCCCGATGCCAACTCTCTTCACATGTTTATTCAAGTGACACCATCATAGGCCCTAATCACATTAGCCATGCCATCAGGGGCTCATTCACCTGCACATCTACCAATGTGATATGTGCCAGCAATGCCCCTCTGCCATGTACATTGGCTAAACTGGACAGTCTCTATGCAAAAGAATAAATAGACACAACTCTGACATCAGGAATCATAACATTAAAAAACCGGTAGGAGAATACTTCGACCTCCCTGGTCACTCAGTAACTGACTTAAAGGTGGCAATTTTGCAACAGAAAAGCTTCAAAAACAGACTTCAACGAGAAACTGCTGAGCTTGAATTAATATGCAAACTAGATACCATTAACTTGGGTTTGAAGAGAGACTGGGAGTGGCTGGGTTATTACACATATTGAATCTATTTCCCTAAGTTAAGTATCCTCACACCTTGTTAGCTGTCTAAATGGACCATCTTGATTATCACTACAAAAAAATTTTTTCCTCCTGCTGCTAATAGCTCATCTTAATTAATTAGCCTTTTACAGTTGGTATGGCTAATTCCACTTTTTCCATGTTCTCTGTATGTATATACACCTCTACCCCGATAGAACGCTGTCCTCAGGAGCCAAAAAATCTTACCACGTTATAGATGAAACTGCATTATAGCGAACTTGCTTTGATCCACTGGAGCATGCAGCCCCGCCCCCCGGAGCACTGCTTTACCGCGTTATATCCAAATTAGTGTTATATCGGGTCGCGTTATATTGGGGTACAGGTGTATATATATATCTTCTTACTATATGTTCCATTCTATGCATCCGAGGAAGTGATCTGTAGCCCATGAAAGCTTATGCTCAAATAAATTTGTTAGTCTCTAAGGTGCCACAAGTACTCCTGTTCTTTTTCCGGATACAGACTAACACGGCTGCTACTCTGAAACCTGTCATTATGCACGGAGTTAAAGAGAAGGTACTTACTGGTGTCTAATGTTCTGAGTCACCTCTGCGCATTTGCACTTATGGGAGTTGCTCACCGGTGGCAAGCACACAGAACCTCCTGGAAGACAGCATCCACCAGGGTGGGGGGAGAAGGGCAGAGCACGCATGGGCAAGTGCCCTTTCATGGCATCAAATGTTCAGCAACTCAGGCTATAAGAGACTTCACCTCCTTCACTTCCTGTCCCTTCTCCTGAACCAGTGTCCTGATGTTATACAGGACTCTGAGGTGAAGGGAAAGATGGTCACTGAGTGTGAATGCACAGGAGATTGGTGGATAACCTCTCCTTCTTTGCGAGCCTCAATACCAGGGGTGGATAAAAATCCATTTTTTTTTCATTTAAATCGGATTTTTTTGATAAAATGCTTTTAGAGGAAAAAACCTATCTAAAGATAGTTTGAATTAAGATACATTATAGCTCAAAGATATCTCATTATAGAATAAGCATTATACATTCTAATTCTATAGTATAAGACAATACAGTCATGTAATATTTAAGAAAAGTTTTGTAAATTAGTTCCAATAGTTCATGGATTAGGGACCCAATCTTATGGGATTGCAGGGGCTTCTGTATAGATTTAGATTAATCTTTCTATTTACCCAATGGGACTCAGTGCTCAGTCTAGAAGGTACCATCAGAGAGGCTTAGTTTTGCAGTTCTCAAACTGTGGATTTCTGTCTCCAGAGATAACATGCTTGTTAACAGCAAAAATGTTTTTAAATAAATAAAATAAATAATATATCAAGGTAAGAAATAACAGACCTCAACCCGATTCTCCCTCTGCAAATTTGTGTACACAGAGTCAATCCCTTACCTTTCTAAAAGTGCAAAGTTTCAAAAAGTTCAATAAACAGAAGATGGTTGGGGGCAGAATAGATCTGGACAAGGAGAAGAACTCTGGAGATAAATGTGAGAAGGGAGGGACAGGCAGTTGAAACAAAAGTGAAACTGTTTGAGCAGCATATTCCAGAAATCTTGAGGTCTTTGAGTATAGCCTTCATTGATTTGAGATCTACCATACCATTCTCTCACTAGAAGGGAAAACCTATAATGGCATCAGGCTGTAAAAGTGACCCAGTTTGGGAATAAGAACCATTCAAGAAATATGTTTGCTGATAATGTTTTAAAGAAAGTC